GCAGGGAAGCCCCCAATGTATTTTTCATGTTGCAAAACTTGAAACTAAATTGCAAAGGTAATGGCAAAAATAGTCTGAACATCCCAAGGGATTGGAACTCTGACTGCAGAGATAACAAGTAGAGAAACCATCCCATCCAAATAGCTGACGGTAATGAATCAGCAGCTAGTATGTTGAGAGAAGCAGCAGATTTGCTGCAAAACAAAATAGGTATACTGGGAAAAGCATTTCAATTTCTCATAAAACATTAGGCAATTACGGGAATATTTATTTTAAAAATGTACCTTTATATAGAGACATTAGTCTTTCAGATAGCCACATATCTTCTTAGCTGACTTCTATGCATCAGAGATAGGCAACCACAATATGAGAAGACAAAGAAGTGTGAATCTTTTCTTTGAGTCACAATATTGGTGGGAAGATGAGGTTTTGCACATTGAAAAATTAAAGGGATATTGTTTCACATTGTAAAAGATTTTTAAAACCCTTTGCCTAATATCTGAAAATTCTATGGACAAAAAAACAGTTGTGTGACTATAACCAAGAGGTAAAAAATTGGGTTTAGAGGCTTTTTGTAGTCAATACGATGGGGTGGGCTCGGAGATGACAAAGGACTTGAGGTTAGGAACATGGGAAGAGCTGATAAAGTGTTTTTCTGTGCAAACAAAAAGCAGAATCCTTTCTAATGATTTTCCCCCAAGTGATTTTCTGTAAGCATCAAAAGTATTAGACCTATAGGGTTTCATAGTCTGTCATTAAAGGGTTTGGGAATTTTTGAGTCAAATATAGATATGTCCTAAAAAATTAGAAATTGTTTTTCTGATTATTTTTTCTTCACAGCAAAGCATTCAGACTGTATAGAGAAAGGTAGAGAGAAAAGCAAAAATCATCCATAATCCTACTACACAGAGATCATCAATATTAACATTTTGGGGGATACTCTTCTATACATGTTTCTACATATGTATACACACATGTTAGCATATACTTTTTATAATAATGAAATCATATTAGGCATGCTGCAATTTAATGGGGTTTTTTACTTAATAATATATCATTTTGTATTTCAATAAATATAGGTTTAAATTATTATATTGAGTTGAGTAGTGTCCCCCCCAGATTAACGTCCACCCAGAACCTCAGAAAGTGACCTTATTGGGAAGTGGTGTCTTTGCAAATTTAATTAGTTAAGGGTCTAGAGATGAAATCATCCTGGATTTAGGATGAGCCCTAAATCCAATGACTGGCATCTTTCTAAGTAAAAGGAAAGGGAGATTTGGACACAGAGAGACAGAGGGAGAGGGCCATATGAAGATGAGATAAAGATTGGATGGATGCAGCCACCAGCCAAGCAACACCTGGGGTCACCAGAAGCTGGAAGAGGCAAAGAAGGATTCTCTCCTAGAGCCTTCAGAGGGAGTCTGACCCTGACAATACCTTGATTTTGGACTTCTGACCTCCAGAACAGTGAGACAATAAAATCTTATTGTTTAAGTCACCAAGTAAGTGGTAATTTGTTATGGTGGCTCCAACAAACCAGTACTGTACAGTTAGCATTTTTATTGGCTGCATAGTATTTACTGTATTCCATTCCTCATGGATTACCACAGGAATGGAAAACAGTGATGGACGTTGTTGATGGCTGTTAAGGTTGCTTTCAGTGTTTCACTATTGCAAACAATATTGCAATGAATATTCTTGTTGAGGCAACTTTATGCCTTTTTATGGGGAGGGAACACAGCCTAATGGTTAACAGCATGGGTTCCAAAGCCAAAGGTACTGCTTCGGTTAGAATTTTGGCTTTATCACCCACTAGTTATTACTCTAATTAGTTACTTAACTGGAGGCTTGCTGTTGTGGGGAAAATATGTTTTTACAGTGTCTGACATATAGTAAGTACTAAATAAATATTTTCTATTTATGATAAATGACTAGAGGTGGATAATTCTTTCCAGGTCAAAGAAGAGATACATTTTCAAAACTCAAATGCAAGTATAAAAATCTGAATAATAAGCATCAGATTTCTCTTTTACTCACAGGAGTACACATTTTCATAGTAAAATTATAAGTGTAAAAGGCTATAAATACTTAATTTCTATCATCTCCAACAAAACAAAGAAAGCACGTTAGTAATTTCTTTTTATTGACCCTGAAAAGGCAATTGTTAATTGTTCAGCATGTTGGCATTTAAGTCAGACTACATATAATTTCAACCATGGGTCTGCCACCTTCTAATATGGAGGAAAATTACTAAACTTCTATGTTCCTCACTTTTTCAATCACAAACTGGGACAGTTTTCCCAGTCTTACTAGGACAATTCTAGAAGTTAACCAAGGTACTTTTTGCAAAGTGCCTAATTCAGAACCTGGAACTTGGTAGAGGCATAAAATAGTGTGTTACTATTACTGAAAAAAAAAAAATTAATGTCTAGACAATGAGGAATAGTCTATTGAACAAAAAAGACAAAACCTAAGATATTTTCAACCACTTCATAGATGAATAACAAATACAGGTGGTCTGCAAGCTTTTGGATCCTGCACTCCATCAGTAAAAAATTTGCACCATGCACCTCCAATATATGTATATTTATTTATAAATTATAAACATATATAATGACATTCATATGCACTTCATAAAACTCAAAAATACAAGTTTCAAAGGGATGAGATAAAAATTTTAAAGTTGTGGCATTTCTTTTCCACACTTTAGTGGATCATCTGCAATGTCCCTCACCCTGGGTTCACGTGCTTCACTTTGAAGATCACTGATGGTACAATATTCTCAACTATAAGGTAGTATGAGGATGGGATGGGCTTAAGGATTTGCTGATCATCTAACTGCACATGGAACTAACCAGCAACAGATATCTGGAGGATGTGAATACCTGTCTGCCTGACTAACACCCTACTTGCTTATTTTTCAAGATTTGGTTCTAAGACCACCCTTTGCATGAAACTTCTGGGATTTCCAGGTAGAACTGACAACTGCTTCGCTTGAATTCCCCTCTGCCTATACAGATATCGAGCATATGCATCTGAACACTTGACTGTATATATTAGCTTCTGTGTGTCTCTCCCCATATTGATTATCAGCCCCTCAGTGGTGGGATCATGCCAAATTCTTCATTGATTTCCTAGTACTTGTTGTATAGTAGATCCTAAATAAATACATACCGAGTGAATGAGCTGACAAAACTAGATTGCAATACAGTGCCTAAAATTAAGCCATTTTGTAAGCACATAGAAGAAAAAAAAAAAAAGAAAATGCTTTGAAATGAAATGCCAACTAGAGCTTCTTCAACATAGGGTTAAATTTAATTAGATTGTAATGTCTGACTTGTTTGCAGCAAATTGGACAGAATTTCCCAGCGAATCCTCCAGATACTTCAACAAAATTCTTGGTTGCCTCACTCCTCTGCACAGCCTCTCCTCTGCTCTACAGAGGAGGGGAGTTAGGTCTGGTTAGGGATGTTTATGTACTTGCTAATCATACGTTTGTTTTCCCTCTAAGCTCAGCTCTGCCTGCCATGAATCGTTCCAGATGACAATCATTTTCATGCTTTCAAACAAAGGCTCCAGAAGGACCACGAAGAAGAGAACAAAGCTAGAAGTTTAACATCAAAAACGACAAGAAAAGAAGAAACGATATTTAAATATTCTGCTCCCTTTTTTTTTTTTGCTATCTTATTACGGCATTTTAGTACTCCTGTTCACCTGAAATTAGAAGGTTGTGGGTAGGTTGGGACAAGAATTCAAATGGCTACACTAAATAAGAAGGCTCAGTTCCACCCTATACTTACATCCCTCAAGAGTCATCTGAGCTTTTAAAACTCTCTCTCTTTCTCATCCCCCACCCTGTCTTTCATGTTAACTTGAAGCCACAACTAGTGACTGTTAGCAATATTTATTTCCACACTTGTTTCCCTAAAGCATTGTTTTCCAAAATGGATTCCATGAGATGTTCATAGATGCTCCATGGAAAAATGTTCTGTGGTCAGATGTTTGGGAAATTTATGGTTATTACAAGTTAAACAGATTTCTCTGCAACAGGTCTTCTCTTGCCCTTTAATTTACCAGTGGACCTGGTCAATCTCCAAAAGGAAGCATAGTTTGTACCACAGAACCCTAATTTTCTGGAATCATTGAGCCTGGCTAGTGTTCTGATTAATACAGTGGAAGAAATGCCACCCTTTGACATCAGGGTTTGTCTTAAACTGGGAGCTCTTGTCATCAGAGACATAGACATTCAGAACTACCTTAGTCACTTAGATTGGTGTGCAACTCTTGACCACATAGAGAAAACCTCACCGAGGAACTCTCCTAAACACTCATACAACAAATTTCATTCTTCCTGCAGGCTGACATCCCTGTACCCTGGAGTCTGAAATGCCAATTCTGCAGAAAGAGATAGGCTAGAAATATAGCCTGGTGGAAGAGCAAAAGGACCTGAACAGGCGCCATGGCTTTAGGAATATGCATCTCAGGACCTATATTGTGCATTTAATCTCTCAGCAGTTGCTTGCCAGAAGTGGAAATGCCCTTGCCTCTTGGGGTGCTTTCACAGAGAAGCCCATTTTTTCTATTTACTCCCACCCACCACAACACAAAGCCTTTTTATTATACACAGCTTTTGTTTACACTGTGTTCCCACTAAGAATTCCTACTTAGTCTTCAATCTCCTGCTACTGCATGAAGACTGTTAAACTCTCTCAGTTCTCTGAATACCCACACCACTTAATGACTATACCAGAGGTCAACAAAGCATGGCCCTCCTTCCAAATTCAGCCTGCCATCTATTTTTGTAGATACCATTTTATTGGAAAACAGCCACGCCCATTCATTTATGATTGTCTATAGTGGCTTTTTCTCTAAAAGGGCAGACTTGAGTAGTTGACCCAGAGACCATATAAAATGCAAGCCTAATATAATTACTATCTGTTCTTTATAGAAAAATTTGCCAAATTCTGGTATATACCATTTCTTTAGTACTTATCAGAAGCTTCATGTAAGGATCACACTTTGATGTTTCTGTATGTCTTCTCAATGAGTTTGATGTCCCCTGAGGACAGGGTCTATGATTTGTACATGTTTTGAACACTTTGTAATACTTAGCTCAGAATAAGTTATTAATGAACATTAACTAATCAATCAATTTCTTCTTGATTTTCTTTGAAAGAGCACAATTTACCCAAATTCTCTGTAAGATGTTTCTGGTACCAAAAAGGAAAGAGAAAATGATATCTTGTTATTTTCACACCATTTCAGTCTAGTTGTTTGTGATGTGAAGTGGGCACAGCCTACTCACATTGGCTAGCTTCAGATTTTCTCTGAAAGTAAAGTAAAACTCAAAGGCATAGCTAGGTATTTCTTCCTAGTAGTCCGGAAAATATCATCCTTTCTATACACAATTACATAACTGTAATACTTTCCCCATCTACTATATACTGATTCCAACAACTCCAAAACAGCTGCAAAACACACAGACACACACGCACACACACACAGACACACTATAAGTACTAGCAGACAGAATTTGGATTGGCAGAAGTTGATCAATACTGTTAAAAAAGAGACAGAAGGCCTAAAATGGAGTCACTTTTGCTATGCCCCACATCATTAAACCAAGACTAATACCCAACTTAATTACAGTTTCAGCTTCTCCCAGGAATGGAATCTTAAATCAGTCAATCAGGAATTACCTAGGCAGCACTAGTGAGGTAATCCATCTAGTAGACCCTGCTGTCCCCTAGAGGAAGGTGATCTTGCCACAACCAATCCATTTTTTGCTAATATAACTTTCTTGTCCTGCTCCTTTCTACCTATAAAAATCTTTAATTTTCTACAGTTCCTTGGAGCTCCTTTCTATGTGCTAGAAGGGATGCTGCCTGTTTCATAAATCATTGACTAAAGCCAACAAGATCTTTAAAATTCACTCAGTTGAATTTTGTTTTAACAGTATTGGTGGCAGCAGTGGGATCCAAAGGAAACTTCTGATGGCTTTAGGGATGATGAGAAACACAGGTCCTGGTACCAATGAACACTTTGGGTTCTCTGCCTTCCTTACCATCTCCAAGAGCTGTGGGTAAGTTCCACTCAGTTTTGAGCTCCACTGTCTTTGCATTAAGCTCCTGATCTAATTGGCTTTCCAGTCCAGGGCAGCTTAGCTTAAACTAGCACAGTTCTGCCCAGAGCCCAAGCCCCTAGTCCTTGCTTCAGTCTGCAATTCCCCATTTGATTAGAATCCCAGCCCTTGGATCAGTCTCCAGATTCCACATTGGGAACTGCTGGTGGTTCAGTCTGTAGTTACACGTTTGATTGGAATCCCAGTCTGCAGTCCCTTTTAGTTGGGGTCTGTTGGTTCAGTCCTTTCCCCATTGCCACATTGGGAACTGCTGGAGGGCCACACAAGGCCTTCTATTGACCAGTTCACAGTAATATCTCTTTGACTACTGCTGGTGTGTTAAGGTAAAGCTATTGCTAGTGGGAATCTTGAAAGCTAAAACCTGAAAATTTGGTGGGTTCCAAGCACTTAAAAGCTGTTAGAGCACATGCCACCTAACTCTAACACTCCTGTGTTAGGATAAATTGGTCACAGAAAGGATTAGATTGACACTAGGTCACCTGCAACCTCAAGAAAGTTTCCATGAAATAAGGTACACTGAAAACACAATCCCCAACCCAGCGCAACATCCCTCTTAGGTATTAGTTTGACTCTGAGAGACCCAAGACTTAGCTAAAGAAATGGGATCCTTAAGTTCCAAAGAGCTGAGCATGCTACCTCCAGCACACCTGCTTTTTTGTATCTAAGAACTATGGTCCCAGAAGCTGTAGATATCTACAAAAATGTCAAAATATTATGAATACCACCTAGAATTACAATGGCCATTAAGAGGAGTGTTCCAATTAGAAAAGATTATTTAAGAAGTTCACTTGAAAGCAAAGACTACCAAATCAAACGAACAGAATGGGACACCTATTTTAATTGACATGCCAAAGCCTATAAAAGGCTTCAAAATTCCAAAACAGCTTCATTGAAGGATTCATTACAAACTGCTAGTGAAAAATTGAAGACACAATAGGTACCTACATCAAAGGACTACGGGACTGACACAATTCCTGCTACTCTCCTCTATCTTTCTTTACTTGAGTACTCATTCTACTACTCCTTTTTCTGAATTGTCTTTCCACCCTGCAGACTATTACATGACTATAAACAAAAGTCGGCCAAATTAGTGGCCTTACAGATACTCCCATAACTACCCTCGAAGAAAGGTCCCCATGAGGCAGGAGACAGATGGGCCCCAGGCTGGGCAGCTGGACCTGTGGACAGATACTCCAAGATAAAGATAATGGCAGGAGCAAGGAGGAGTTGAGTCCTGCTTGAATAGAAGATAAAGAGACCACATGTTTTTCATTCTTGAGGTCAAGGAGCCCTCCCAAACTACACATGCACAGAAAGGTTCCTCAGAGGTCACAGAAGGAAGGAGGTGCCAGACCACAATGTGTTCTTCTTCCCAGAAACCCTTGCACTGGAATCCACCTTGGCTAAAAGATGCATGCACACACAGGGGAGGGCCCTGAGTTAAACCACATACGGACTCAGAGCCAGGCAAAGCAAGATGACTGGCCAGAGGAAACCTAGAAGAACTGCCCCATATAAGTGATTTGAACTACCTTACGGATGCAACTCTTTCTCTGAGCCCTCCCGTGTGTGTCTATCCATACATGCTTTTTTCCTCCTAATAAACACTTTACTTGTTTCACTACATTCCATCTCTTTGTTGAAATTCCCTTCTCCTAAGCAGACGATCCAGGACCTTGTCACTAGCCACTGGCCCTCATGATCTAGTAGTTAGGATTTGGTGCTCTCACTGCCACGGTCTGGCTTCAATCTCTGGTCAGGGAACTGAGATCCTGCTTCAAGTTTCTGCAAGCCAAGGCTACCCAAGATCACCCATATTGACTCTTTCCAGGTTAACAGAACTCTGAGAGAATTTGTGGTAAACTGCTACATTTTTCCCTTAAGCAGTGAAGGGGAAACTAAAATTAAAATTAATGGAAAACCTTACCAAATTCTGGGAGATGCCATAGCTTGAAGACAGGATCTTGGGAAAACTGGTAAAAACCAGAGAAGAGAGAATTCTTACCAGTTTCAGCATTCCTGAATCTCTGTAGTACACTGTTGAAAGAGAAAAATAAAATTTCATGTTGTCCTTTTATTTCCAAAATCAGACCCATTGATTATTGATCCTATCTCTCCCAGAGACAGCTGTTACCTTCTTGTTTGTCCTGTTTTGTGTCCTGAGAACTCAGCTTGGTAACCATCAGAAATGTGGGTTGAACTCCATTTGCAGCTAGAGTCTATTGCCAGCATTCAGAGGAATTTTCTATTTGTCTATCTTTGGGAATGGCTCTGGATCTTAGGAGGGTAATATTTTTGCACTCTCTTTGGAAACACATCTTGGGCCCATGGGGTTGTAAATGAGAAATGTTGCCTGCCATATTAGTAAACGAAGGATGTGCAGCCATCAAACCACTAGAGCCGCCCCCAACGGTGCACCCTGAGGGAACTCAAGATGGGAAAGAACAGGATACTGGCCCTAGATAGCTAAGGTGCTTCTCAAAGGAATGATTTTGATGAGCCCAGAATCTTGTGTCTTCCCATACACAGAAATGTGCTAAATTCATTAACTTGAGATATCTGGTTTTCTTTAATTAAGAGTAATCTTTTGATGTTCCAACTACCTGATTTTTGTTGCAAAACTCCTAAATATCCTGGCTACTCCCTTACCTGCTCAGAGCAGTCTTTCAGAGCTATCTGAGAGGCTACCTCCCAGGCTTGAAGTCCTCAGAAAGTCCACTGAATAAAATATAATTCTCAACTTTTAGGTTGTGCTTTTTTTTTCAGTTGACAGCGTTGTTCAATACTGCCAGAAATATTTTTGGCCTCTTCTGCTAAACTAAACCAAAATTATGTACCCAGAGGGATAGAGAAAACTTCTGAAGCCTTTGTGAAAGAATTCACTAAAACATTCCAAAGACAAACAGCTCTAAATTCAGAACATAAAAATCTTTTGATTTCCATCTTAGTTGGAAATCTTCTCCCTGATATAAAAAAGCAAATTAAAGATAATATGGTTGGATGGAAGGATCAGCCCTTTGATATCATTTAGGCTGCAAACCAATTCTTTGAGGTATTAAAAGCAACTGTCCTTATCTTACAAATCTGTGCAAGACCAGAAATGTGGCTCCAGAAAGAATTAAAAATTCACCTGTCCTTTTAACCAAGCCCCAAACCTCCCCTAATTTATCTCAAAAGGCTTGTAAGTATTGTAAAAATTCTGGTCTTAGAAAACAAAAGTCCCTCTTGGAGAAACTTGCATACTTTCCCTGTGTCTTTGAGATGTAAATGTTCTACCTGGTTTTCTTCAGGAACTCTTATCTAGGCCATCTCTTTGGAATACACACTTTAGGAAAATAATTTTTATCAGAAGGAAAGGGGAAAAAGTTATCTGGAATTTAGGTAAATGACAAATCTCAAGTGTCTTCTTCATAACTATTAGTAAAAAGATTTACCATCTGAGCAGATAACCTTAACTTATTCCATTTGCCAAAAACACAATTTGAATCCTACTTCTTTTATAAATTAGTTGAGTTTAGTATTATCGTACTCATCTCATGGCTACAATTTTAAGACAAAAATTATAAGATCTCTGTTTGTGTCTTTATGTTTATGTATGTCTATAAATGTACGTTAAAGATGTGTGTTGCAAAACTTAATTTGTAGAAAGCTCTATTTAACTGACTTAAAAACAAACAAGCACTGTATAAATTAAGTATACTCTCAGAACCATAAAAACTCTCCCAGGTATTTTTCAAGTTCATGTGATCTAGGATAATCTTCAGTAAAGAAAAGCTACTTTAAGTTTGTTGGTTTAATTAAAATAGACATGTCTTTAGAGTTATCAACATTGATATTATTGAAAACAATGCAGACATGCAACTCTTACTTTACCGGGGTTTATTAATCAAATAATTTCATGTTATCTCTGTTACAAAATTTTTCAGCAAGAAAAACAGCTTGAGGTGATGGCTGACTTTGCCTAGTGTCTCATGAAGTTTTTGTGGGTAGTCTAAATGTAATTGTTGGGAGTAAGTAAATTAAATAGGTGTGAGTGGGATAAGAATTTTTAGGTGAACTTTGTAGCAATAATTGTTTTTTATGGTATGTCTAGTTAGTTTCCCCAAATCTTTTTGGTAACTTGAAACCTTAGAGTTTTACTAAGTTAAATTAAATTATGGATAGTCATTAAATGTCTAGATCATTTCCAAATAAACTAAAATATTGAAACACATTAATCACTGAACATAAGTTTATCTACTTTTGACTCCTTATTACCAAGAAAATAATATCTGTTTCTATTGGTATACATGTTTTGTGTCCCATTGAAAAATTGTGCTATGAGGAAGCATGTTTCTAGAAGTTATGAAATGTCTTAACAAATTTGCCAATTCACAGAATGCTAGTGTAACAGTCCACAATTGCTTACATCTTAGCTTTCACTAGGAATTAAGGATTCTAGGGTTAAGAATTTTAATTAATATGTGTAATTAAAACTACTTAAAAGTAATAAGGGTGAAAGGGAACAACTGTGTATGAGAAGTAGGTAAGGAAAGTAAAATGATTGATTGTCACAAAATGAAAAAGAGGAAAAACATATGACAAAATCTGAAGAAATATTTTAAAAGTTGTAGAAGGTTTGTGGAAAAGAATCTATGGAAAGGAATTTTATGTGTGGTCAAGATGGCTAAGATTGTGATGAATTTATCTAAGTTAAAATACAAATTTTGATATCAAAGTACACTAGTGCAAAATTGGAATTTAGTGTTCTCTTTGTTAAAAGGACAAAGTTTTTACTGGACTCTTGGTCTGTTTGGATAAGAAAATTGTGAAAGTTTGTTTACCTTTTAAGTAATCTACCTAGACAGCAAAGATTTTCTGTCGTATCAAAATAATTTACTGGGCTCCATATTGTCTTTATCAGGTCTTTGATTATCAGCTCTTTGATTAATACTGAGAAAATTCAATCTTCTCCATATTAAAAGAGCTAAGTTTTGTTCACAACTCTGTGGTCTTCTGTATTTGCCTTTAACATCTTCTATCGTTACTTTGGTTAAATGGGTAATTTAGTATTGTTTCATAATTTTCTGTGATATTTTTAGTCAAGTATCCAAAATTTTTTATATTCTTTGACACACTTCCCAAAATCAAATTCTTAATGAAGTCTTTTTGACTTGAAACTAACTTTGGGATTTTCCAGAGGGCTTCTGGAACATCTCAAAAGAATTGTTCTCTCTTCTTATAAAAAGAGAGGGGGGGGGGCTTACCTGGTGGTGCAGTGGTTGGGAGTCCACCTGCCGATGCAGGGGACACGGGTTCGTGCCCCAGTCCGGGAAGATCCCACATGCCGCAGAGCGGCTGGGCCTGTGAGCCATGGCCGCTGAGCCTGCGCATCTGGAGCCTGTGCTCTGCAGCAGGAGAGGCCACAAGGGTGAGAGGCCCGTGTACCGGAAAAAAAATATATAAATAAAGAGAGAGAGAGGGAGACAGAGACAGAGAGGTTAAACTAATTAGGCTTATTTGATATGTTAAATTACATGGGAAGCATTGTCAAATAAGAAGTAATGCTAAGCCTTCTTTAAGTTATATTTTTCCAGGTATATAAGTTCTAGAAATTGTATGAAATTTCTGGAAATCTGATATGTCCTAGTATAATATTATCAGTCATAATTCCAGTTATTATCTTAAAATGTATATCACGGAAATAACTACATTTGCTTATCAAATGAACTCTCATCAGATCTTTAACAATGGGCTTTTTTTTTTTTTTTTCCGGTACGCAGGCCTCTCACTGCTGCGGCCTCTCCCGTTGCGGAGCACAGGCTCCGGACGTGCAGGCTCAGCGGCCATGGCTCACGGACCCAGCCGCTCCGTGGCATGTGGGATCCTCCCGAACCGGGGCACAAACCCGTGTCCCCTGCATCGGCAGGCGGACTCTCAACCACTGCGCCGCCAGGGAAGCCCAACAATGGGCATTTTTAACTCTTTTGTCATTTATAGATAGTTATTGTTTTACTCTGATGTTTTTGCAAAAGTGATACTCATGGAAAGAGCCTTATCAAGTACTCCTGACCATTGACACTACTGTGAAACCAGAAGGCTTTGAATCTTGGGTACACATCTCACAGCTGAGGAAGGCTCAGAATGCTGGAGACCTCTGAATCCACCTGAATAGGAAGAGAAGTAGCTGACATCAAGGTAGACTGAATCCACCCAAGGTACCAGATCAAGGCTTCATACTTTACCTAAACATAAAACCTTTCCTTCTTCTCTTTCTTTCCTTCACTCTGGCATTAGCCTGGAAAGATAACACTATCATCTGTGTCTCCCAGGCCATTACTAAGGAGAGTAACTTCAGACTGCTGGATTTGTCCTCAAAAACTCTGTTCATGAGGCTAAAGACCTCCTGGTCCTTCCTGTGACCAATTTTTCTTTGATTCCCAATGTCACCATAAACTGTAATTGATCCCCTTTAGAAGTCACTTAGAGTCTGACTTTTATAGCCAGATTATCCAATGCCTTTTTTTGACTTTTCCTTTATTATAACTGGACTTGCCCAATTAGACACAAATATCTATGCAAATCATGGTATATTTGCATCTCCACATTCTTATGTTATCTGATATTCTTATATGATCTGATTTAGATCTGTCCTCAATCATGAAAAGATCTCACCAGCAGCACCAATCTTTGCAAGGAATTTAGAACAACATTCTGTTTCATTCTGGGAGATTTACTTCCCAAATGCACTGAAAGCCTAATTGATCCCTGGCCTGCAAACACAACAATTCCTGCAAATGAATCCATTAACAGTGTCACCTTAGTAGGAGTGGTTTGTGCCCCAACAGGATTTCCTTTCCTGTGGTGGTTATCATTCTCCTTGAGCCTATGAATTGCCTAGATGACTGGTGCATAACGA